CGCTTCTTTGTCAATAAAAGGTACAAGAGTTCCCCAAAGCTCCGTCGTTTAGAATCGTGTCATCAAGGAATGTTGGGTAGTCCATGCTCTCCAAAAGGGGCAGCAGCTGCGCGTCCCAGTTCCACGACGGCCCGGGGGCCTCGATTGCTTCCCTTTCTTCTTGTTCATGATGCATTTGCGCCAAGGTTGATGCGACCGCGGGACTTTTACAAGCCGTGGGCTGCGTCTTTGCAAACCTCTCCGGCATGTGCCTATCGCGAGCTTGTGTTCGAGCGATGGGAAACACCCCTAGCGGATTGAGAATGTAATCCAGCGAAAAGTGCGAGGGGTTTGTCGCCTCCGCAGTAGTCTCTGTATTATTATTATTATCATTATTCGGCTGAATAGTCCCATGCCGCTGCACAATGCACTCAAAATGCTTCAGCGCTTGACTAGCAGACTCGACAAACAAATCCACCTTCATATACTGCTGCATGTGCTGCAGCACCGTGAGGTTCGCGTGTAGCATGCGGCGGTAGTCTGAGTCGCTATAACAGTCTGGCAGAAAGCTCGCATCTGCCGCTCTGGCCGAAGCCAGCGTCGTGACAAGAGTGCTGCTGCAGACCTGGGCATGTATCGCGTAGGGCATGTCAATCATACTCTCCCGATGGCATTTGTAGAGGCTCTCGAGCAGCCCTGATATGAGCGTTGCCCGATCCGCGCAAGTCTGGTGGCAACGCCGTCGAAATTCAGAGGGCGCGTCTTGACGGAGCTGCGCTGTGGCCGAGCTGGGGAATACGAGACCAGCTACTCCGACCCGGTAGAGGTCAGTCCAGGTCTGCGCAAGTAGTATGTGCAAGCCGTAATACAAGTTCAGGCGGCCGAAAGCTTTGTACAGATAAGTGTTGCCGTTGTTTATTCGGAAAGCATTTGGGATGGACTGCTCGAGGGCAACGAGGCGCTCTTCGAGGCGCTGAAACTGCGAGCCGCAGAGAGGGTCCCACGGTTCGTCGCCATCTAGGTGCTTGACATACCGCAGAATGCTGGAGCGCATTGACATGGCACGAATATAGTAAGCTCTGAGGTCCAAGTTCTCAGCAGCTTCGCCAGCATGTCTTGCTCCAATTGATGGTAGCAGAGTCCCAATTCCTAATGTTTCTGTGACACGGGGCTGGCCTCGAATAAAGTCCTCTTCTCGGCATGGAAGTTGCAAACGCGCGTCATCACTTGATATGAGCTTGAGCTGGTCAATGCCGCATTCAATGAGTGCGTCTTGCAGGTAGCAAGCCCAGAACAATCTCCGTCGCGACTCTCTAGTGTCGCTCGAAAGAGAGCCTTCATGCACACATAATGTGTCATTGTCGTGCTCCAGGTTGAGTTGCAAGATCTGAACTTGCCGCGTCACCATGCCAGATATCAAAAGAGCTTTGGTATGTTCACCGCTTCTAATAAGTTGCTCGTGCACCAGCACAGACACCATCAGATGCTCCACCGTCGAGGAGCCAAAGTTGGCAAACACGCGTTGCATGGCGCTCGCCGCCCAGCCGCGGCCCGCCTCGTGGAATCGAAGGCTCTCTGTATCATCACCCGAGGTGCCTGCAACTTTGGCGTACATGAATGGAGCAGCCAAGGCGCACATGACGTACACGAGGCCTGAGGGATCCGTGTGCAGAGCCTCGTGCTCCTTGAAGCGGTCCATGAATGTTGGGATGTGAATGAAGCCCAAGCACCGGACAGTGTGGATCTGAGCAAAGTAAATGTCAAGGAGCTCGCGCACACGATGGGACGACGGGAGAGCAGCAGAGCTCAGCCAGCCAGGCAAGTTGCCCCGTTGTGCTTGCGGGGTCGGCGTGGTCGTTGGAGACTGGCCATGTTCAGACTCGATCGTGGGCTGCTCCAGGTAGGTGCAATTCAGATGCTTTTTTCTGCACCTTGCGCATGACTGCTCGCCAGAACATTTGGTTTTGGACTTTTGGCAGGCCATGCAAGACCGGGACACTCGACGCCGAGCCAGGCCGGTCTGCGTAAAGTTGCGACTAGACTCTTGATACGAAAGTGCGGCGCTGCGTGTCCTTGACCTGGATATGGTTGCGTAGACGCATCTTGTACCAAACTGAATGCAATTCCGGCACGATTGTGAGTTTCGGTCACATCTAATCTACTCTTGTTAGCACCTGGTCTCGCAGGACAGCTAAAGAAAGGCGCAGGACGCTGATCTCATTGGGGCTGGGATGGTAAACCTTGCGTTTACGGCAGACGACGCAGCTACTAAGCATTGTCGAACATCGAAATATTCAAATTGAAGCTGTAAAGAGGCAATAGCAACGGCGCAGACTTTCCGCTTGGGAGGGATTGTTTGTGTAAGTGAATCAATGGGTTGCGTGTTTGTAGATTGTCGCAGGGCGGGGGAAATGCTCTGGGCGCTAGACAGCTATCGCTGACCTCTGAAGTTCTCAACCGCCAATTGATTGCATCAAGTTATACCCTTATGTCACCACGAGGAGATCAGAATAGTGCGGAAACTGACGTAAACTACCCCTGCAATCGCGCCTTAGAAGGTCGGATCGATTGACTAAATCGGTACAAGACCTGCTCTCTTGGAAATGAGTGGCTGACATGGAGTCAATCGTATTTGGATATTTATAATGCACTAAAGTAGACTGTCACAACGGCAATAGAGCTAATTATAAGAAACACTGTATTGTGACAACGAACGGGTGGGGATGCAGGCGTTTCCTGAGTAATAACGGTCATGGTCAAAAGCGGTTCTGGCAACAGAGTCATATCTGCCAGGCAAATTGATACCTCGAGATGCCATAAAACTACTATTAAACCCCCATGAATAAAACAGAGAAAATTCACGAGTGTATACATACTGCTAGAGTTGTGACGTCTTACTTATACTGCGAGCAGCACTTGACGCCTTCAATACACAGATCAGGTACACCATAGTGCAGGCTACACACAACACCCACTTGTGGTGGTTTCCTTTGCCGCCCCGTCAAGGAGCGGCCGAGAGCCCTGATTCTCGGCTGCGTGAATACTAGTAACACAATTCATCGAATCTTTAAACGCAATGTGAGATTCGACCGCTAGTCTATGTTACCCTCATTTCATCCCAAGTCCTCACAATAGTCCCACCATCTGCCGATGCCATACAAGTTGCCAGGGAATGTCAATATCGATGAATAACACAGTTTGGACGGATAAACGTTTTGAATTCGGCATAGCATGATAGTTCCCGCTTCAATGTCTTCAACATTTACCAAGGTAGCCTATACCATCACGAATTTGCATACCAAGGACTGGAGGTGGACTTGCCTAAGCAGCGCGACTTACGGCCTCGACAACACATCCACAGCCATTGCACCCTTGATTTTGGAAATACAATTCGATTTCCGTATACAATTCGAGTTCTGAGAAACCCGATGCCCCTTTCTTTTGATGATATCGCCTGTGTTTGTTGCATTTGTAATCTCTTGTGTCTCCGTTGGACTACTGCCAACTTCATGACTAATCCAGCAACTCCGTCGGAGTTCACCATGACCTCATTATTGTAGAATATAGATACGCCCGAATCACCGTCGACGATTTTTTCTTCTCATTGTGGTATTTCGCCTTTGAAACAGTAAACTTCAATACAGAAAAAAAATCCTAATCAAGATGGCTGGCACAATGAGGGCAGTTGGTGAGCATCCCGACCCCCTCGCAACGACGACGTCACCCCGCATTAACCCCCGCGATAGAGATCAAAGGTGGCAAGGGCGAGCTCGACGCCTTGTACATCAGCCCCGAGGCGCGCAAGCCCGTACCCGCCGAGGGCCAGGCCATTGTCAAGATCAAGGCGTTTGGCATCAACCGCATGGACATTATCCAGCGCCGCGGCCTCTACCCCTTGCCCCCGCAGGCGCCGGCCACGCTCGGCGTCGAGTTCTCCGGTGTCGTCGAGTCCTTTGGCCCCGGCGACCACGGCAACTTCAAAACCGGCGACGAGGTGTTTGGCCTGGCATACGGCGGCGCCTATGCCGAGTTCATCGCCGTCAGCTCCAAGATGCTGCTCCACAAGCCCAGCCACCTGAGCTTTGAAAAGGCCGCCGCCCTCCCCGAGGCGTGGATCACGGCCACGCAGGCCCTGCACCTCGTGCTGGGCTTCACCGAGGGCAAGTCCATCCTCTGGCACGCCGGCGCTTCCGGCGTCGCCACGGCCGGCATCCAGCTCTCCAGGGCGGCGGGCGCCTCCGCCATCTACGCGACCGCGGGCACCGACGACAAGTGCAAGTACGTCGTCGACACGGTCGGCGCGACGGCGGCCTTTAACTACAAGACGCAAGACTGGGCTGAAGAGGTTAAAAAAGCGACTGGCGGAAAGGGCGTGGATTTCATCGTCGACTTTGTCGGCGGCAGCTACTTTAACCAGAACCTGGATGCCGCCGCGCGCGACGGCCGCATAGTCATGCTGGGCACGTTGGGCGGCGCCAAGGTCCCCGAGGCCCAGATTGGCCCGATCCTGTACAAACGCATCCGCATCGAGGGCAGCACCCTGCGCAGCCGCGACGAGGACTATCAGGGCAAACTGCGGGACCGCCTGGAGCAGTACCTGCCTGATTTTGACTCGGGCAAGCTCAAGGTTGTCATTGACACGGTAATGCCGTGGGAGCAGATCCAGGACGCGCACCGCTACATGGAAGACGGCAAGAACTCGGGCAAAATTGTGTGCACAATTGGTCACTGACCTGACATACAGGCGTAGACACAAAAAAAAAAAGTTTTGTATGCGTATTTTCATGAATTTATCGCTAGGTAGTGAAGGTAAAACGAGTGAAAAAGAAGCAAAGCAGGGCAGTCGCGCAATGTCTAGTGCTCCTTGATCCATTTCAGCATCTGCTCATACGCGGTAGCCTGGGCATCCTTGATTGCGGCCTCTGCGTACTCGCCAACGACCGCGAAGCCTGTGTCCTGTTAGCATGGTTGCGAGGCCCAAGTAGCAGCCAAATCTCACCGTGTGGCACGCCGGGATACACCTGGACTTCGTGCTCCAGGTTCGCCTTGGACATGGCATCCTCACCCAGCGCGCGAACCTCGTCAGAAAACAACGGATCGTCCTCGACACACACCAAGCTCAGCGGCACGGACACATTGTCAAAGTCCTCGGGCGCCACCGACGCCGCGTGCGCCAGCGCACCGGCCTTGATATACGGCCCATGCGTCGTCGGACCGCTCTCCTCGTCCGCGCCGGCCTCCTCGGTCTGCTTGCCGAGCAGCAGCACGAAGCGCGAGCCCACGCAGTAGCCGACGGCATAGATGCCGCCGCCTTGCTTGACCGCATCAGCGTACGAATCGCGTGCGGCGTCGAGGACCTTGTGCAGGATGGGCAGCACCCGATCCGGCGTCACGCGCGCCAGCCACATGTCAATCACAAACGACTTGGTCACCTCGGCCGCCTTGAGCTTGATCTGCTCAAGCCACGACGACGTGTCGTCGGTGATGGTCACGGCGCCGGGGGCCGCGTCGCCGCCGAAAATGTCGGGCATGAGCACCAGGAAGCCCTCTGAGGCGAAGCGGTCGGCCTGGATCTGGTTATTGACCGACTTGATGCCCGTGCCGCCTGTGAGCATCAGCAGGAGCCGCGCGGGCGCGTGGGGATAGTCGGCCGGCTTGGAGATGTAGACCTGGGAAGCTGTTTTAGCGACGGTTGATGCAAAGTTGGTAGTGGCGGGTTCGCACATCAATGTCGTTGAGCTTGATGATTTCGCCGGTAGACGACTGTCCAGACGCTGTCCACACGATTAGTGACGGCTGGCAGAGCGAGTACATGAGCTCCTACGAGTCGGGCGGTCAGTGACGCAATGCTCGCCAGTGACGGGTGCGGCAGCTGGAGCTGGAGCTGGAGCAGGGGCTGGAGGAGGGGCTGGAGCTACGGGGGTCTTGGTCTCTTGAGCATCGCTTTCGGGTGCCCTCGTCGCGTTGTCGGCGTCGGCCATGATTGCAGATGTTTTGGATAAGAGATGGCTACTTTTGTGGAAGTGTGCGCCATCGTCGTTTCACAGAGTACGAGGGGATCCTGGCTGTCAAGTTGGCCAAGACTCCAGATGGGGCAGCGTGGTGACAGCAGGCCATACCGACCGCACTACTTCTGTGCCTTCGGTACATATTACTGTGAGAATGAAAAATATAATCTATCAGCATAAGATGAATAATTATACCCTTCACACTTGGACTATTATCTTACTTCAATGTTGTCTTGCTCTTTGTAAGTTAATGTTGGCCGTTACATAAGCCGGTGGCGACCCCGCCAAACACCAGAGGGGCGATTTTTCCATTAAACGCGTCCAACGCGTCGCGGTCCACTGTGAACCAGGCGTCCGACTTGTCGTGCTAGATTTCACGCCCAAACAGCTGCGTCATTGGCAGTGGGATTTTCACCAAAACATCAACACGATACCACATACAGAGTCATGGCTGCCGAATCTGCCCTTTCAAAGGGGTCACTGGAGTACGTTTGTCGTTTCTTGTTGTGATTCCGTTTCTAACCCTAGTAGCCTCATCTTCAATGATCCCGACAAGGCGGCCAAAGAGTTCCCTGTCCCGGTGATGCAATGTCTGCAGGTCAAGCAAATGGCACCTTCCGCCCAGGGTGGCGACAGATATCGACTCGTCATGAGCGATGGTCAGCACTATGTTCAGACCATGCTCGCAACCCAGGCCAACCATGTTGTCCACGAGGATAAGCTAGTGCGCGGCTGTATCGCTCGCATCAAGCAATACACGCCCAATAATCTCAAAGGCAAGAAGTAAGTACCGTGTCTTCGATCAAACAAGGCCACTTGACTGATCAAACAGTATTCTCATTATCCTTGACATCGAAGTAATCGAGAACTATGGTATTCTCGACAAGATTGGCGAGCCCTCGGCTGTGGAGTCCAGGGCCGCCGAGACGACCATTGCCGGCAACGACTTTTACGGCGTCAAAAAGGAAGAGAAGCCCACCCCTCAACAATCGATGCCATCCCGACCGGCGATGCACGCTGGAAACAACATTTACCCCATCGAGGGCCTCTCGCCCTTTTCTCACAAGTGGACGATCAAAGCCCGCGTCACATCCAAGTCAGATATCAAGACATGGCACAAGGCGACTGGTGAGGGCAAGCTGTTTAGTGTCAATCTGCTAGATGAGAGTGGCGAGATCAAGGCTACGGGTTTCAACGATCAGTGCGACGCCTTTTACGAGCTCCTGCAAGAAGGTTCCGTTTACTACATCTCCACTCCCTGCCGCGTGAACCTTGCCAAAAAGCAATTTTCCAATTTGCCCAACGACTATGAGCTGGCATTTGAGCGCGATACGGTCATTGAAAAGGCCGAGGACCAGACCAACGTGCCTCAGGTGCGATTCAATTTCTCCACAATTGAAGAGCTGCAAAGTGTCGAGAAGGACAATACCGTCGACATCATTGGTGTTCTCAAGGAGGCTGGTGAGGTTAGCGAGATTGTGTCCAAGAAGACTGGCGCGCCTTACCAGAAGCGTGAGCTTACCATGGTTGACGATACGGGGTACTCGGTACGCGTCACCATATGGGGCAAGACGGCCAGCTCTTTCGACGCACAGCCCGAGTCAGTTATTGCATTCAAGGGCACCAAGGTGTCTGACTTTGGCGGCAAGAGTTTGAGCTTGCTCTCGTCCGGTACAATCTCCGTCGACCCAGACATTCCCGACGCCCACCGATTGAAGGGGTGGTACGACTCGAGCGGCCGCAACGACACCTTTGCTACGCACCAGAACCTTGCCAGTGTCGGCGCTGCTGCTGGTCGCAACGACGAGATCAAGACCATTGCGCAGGTCAAGGAGGAGAATCTGGGCGTGGATGACCAGGCCTACTACACAATCAAGGCGACCATTGTCTTTGTCAAGCAGGATAACTTTTGCTACCCCGCGTGTCTGTCGCAGGGCTGCAACAAAAAGGTCCAAGACATGGGTGATGGGACCTGGCGCTGCGAAAAGTGCAACCTGTCGCACGACAAGCCCGAGTACCGCTACGTCTTGAGCTTCAACGTCGCTGACCACACCAGCCACCAATGGCTTAGCTGCTTCGACGACTCGGGCCGTGCCATTGTGGGTATGTCGGCCGACGAGCTAATGGAACTCAAGGAGAATGACGAGGCCAAGTTTCTGGCGGCGTTTGAAGCGGTCAATTGCAAGAAGCTGCAGTTTCGATGCCGTGCCCGCATGGACAATTACGGCGAGGTGCAAAGGTGAGAAAACCGTGATTCGGGACGTGCAGGCATCACATGCTGACTGTAGCAGAGTACGATACCAGGTCATGACGGCGTCATTCCTCGACTTCAAGTCCGAGGGTGCCAAGCTTGCTGAAATGATTAAGCAATACGACTTGAACAACTAGAGAAAGTAAAGCTAATTTGAGGTGTTGGTACGGTGTCGAAAATTCGTGCAATTTAACTGTTGCTTGTTTTTGGGTTTGGTTCATGGGGAAAACATGTACTCTATGATGTTGATATTTGCAGGATGGCGATGAATCATGCTCACAATCATACTATACGTTGCATTTATGGCTACTTTGCGCATAGTGGAACTTCTTCTTTTTTTTTTGAAATGCTATATGCACGAGGGTATCCAACGGGCAACTGGTATGCCTTTTTTCCATGTTCTTTTTTTTGCTTTTGTTTTTACTTTTGTCATTCATTTTTGGATTGTCATTTTTAGAGTGCCAGCTTTTCGTGCTTGAACGGCTTCTGGCCCTCGCCGTCGCCATAGCCGGCGGTGGGCTGATAGTCGCCGCGAATCTTGTACTTGTAAATGGTGAGACCCTCGAGGCCGACGGGCCCGCGAGCGTGAATCTTGTTGGTGCTGATGCCGACCTCTGTGCCGAAGCCGTAGCGCATGCCGTCGGCCAGACGCGTCGAGGCGTTCCAGTACGCGCCGGCCGAGTCGACCTGGTTCATGAAGCGCTCGGCGTCGTCGGCGTCGGCCGTCATGATGGACTCGGTGTGGCCGGAGCCGTGGGCGTTGATGTGGGCGACGGCCTCGTCGAGCGAGGCGACCGTCTTGACGGCCAGCGTCAGCGACAGGTGCTCCGTGTCATAGTCGACCTCTGTCGCGTCCACAATCTTGCCGGCATCGCCCCCTCCGCCGGTGAGGCTCGCGAGGGCGGCGGCCTTGCTGGCGGCGTCGCAGCGCAGCTCGACGCCCTTTGCGACGAGCGCCGCGACGACGGCGGGAAACGTGGTCGTCAGGGCCCGGTCCTGCACGAGCAGCGTCTCGACGCTGTTGCAGGCCGCGGGGTAGCTCGTCTTGGCGTCGACAATGGCGACGGCGGCCTTTGCGGCGTCGGCGCTGGCCGTCAGGTAGATGCTGCACAGGCCGTCGGCGTGGCCCAGCACGGGGATCCTAGTCGACTCCTTGATGTAGCGCACCAGCTCGTTGGAGCCGCGCGGGATGACGAGGTCGATGGAGCGCTCCTGCGCGAGCAGGCTGGCAATGGCGTCGCGGGTCGTGACGAGCTGGATCGCCCCGTTGGGCACCTGGCTCTTGGCGAGCGCGGCGGAAATGACTTGGGAGATGGCGACAAAGGACTCTGTGGATTCTTTGCCGCCTGATTTTGAAGAGTGTTAGTATGCTGCATGGAAGAGGTGGTTGTTTCTGACCCTCGGACATTTATTCTTCTTCTTTTTCTTCTCCCCCTCTTCTTCTAGAACTCACCCTTGAGAATCGCCGCGTTGCCCGACTTGATGGCCAAGCTAGCAATGTTGGCAATGACTTCCGGCCTCGCCTCAAAGATGATGAGCAGCACGCCAATCGGGCACGACACGCGCTCCATGACCAGGTCGTCGTCGAGCTTGGTGCGCATCGACACGTTGCCAACGGGGTCCGGCAGGCCGCGCACGTCGAGGATGCCCTTGAGCATGTCCTCCCACTTGCCCTTTTTGCCGAGGTCGAGACGGCTGATGAGGGCTTCGCTGAGGGACCCGTCGGCGGCAGCTTTCCGCGCGACCTCGAGATCGCGCGCGTTGGCGGCGAGGATGGCGTCGCGGCTGGCCGACAGCGCGGCGTGGATGGCGTCGAGGGCCTCGTTGCGCGCCGAGGCGGGCAGGGCGGCGAGCGTGAAGGAGGCCGACTTGGCCTCGCGGGCGGCGGCCTCGGGAGAAGCGTTTGTGAGGGACATCTTGAACTGAGTGTAGGGGGGAGGGGGATGAAAGGATTGCGGGAATTTGTAAAAGATGACTTGGTAAAGAGAGGAATAAGAAGCATGTGCCTCGTTTGTTAGTTGTCAGACCCTCGATGCCCCACCGCGGGGTTTGCACTCCGCCGGTCGCTGCGACGCGATGACATCAAACCGCCCTCTGTGGCTGTCGCTGATAGGCCCAGCGCGGACAGAGGCTTGCAGATGGTTCTTAGTGCTTTTACGCTAAGGATAAGAATTTGAGTATTTTTACATCTCAATGCGATGGGGCGATGAGGTTTGATTTCGTCGAGAATAGACTCGCCAGCGGCACATGTAGAAATCCGTGGTCATGACTTTTGGTCTAGTGGAATAGTATTAGATAGATGCGCTGCGTAGAGGTGTAACAGGTTAACTTATAAACTTGAGTAGTTAGTTAAAATACGCCCTGGCACTAACGCTGATGTGCGGGTACATGGCTCCATGGAATCGGTAGGGATCTGCTGCCCTGAAGTCAGAAAACTTCAGCTTAATTAATTATAGTAGTCTAAATCTAAGTAGTTATATGGACTGGTTTTAAAAGCGGATAGCTGTTCATGCTTGTAGCATGAGATTTCAAATTCGTCGAGTCGCATTGGTATAATTGCTGGCTGGCTTGTATTCCATCAAAACGTCACTCCACTACGGATCTCTGTACTTGGCAGCTTGGTTGCTGGGCGTGAACCGCGACATCTCTGACATGTCAAGCTTCTTTGTAACCATACTCGAGGGGAACATTTTCGTCTTTACCCCTTTGCCTTGGACACCAAATTCCATCATCCCGTGACGACTCGTCTATGCGCGTCCCAACTACGACGGGCGCGTCGTGGGGGTCAGGTCCGTGACTTTCTACTTTTCCGTCCAGAAAACCCCATCAACAGCGACCCGAATCACATCCAGTCTGCAACAACCAAACCACTCCCAGAAAGCCGCGCATCATCGACACAGCATGGCGTCCCTTGAAGTCGACGACGCCCTCATCGCCCGCGTCACCGACTACGTCAAAGAATACATGTCCCACTACGACGGCTCCCACGATTTCCACCACATCCAGCGCGTTTTGCGCCTCGCACAGCACATCCAGGCGCGCACGCCCGGCACCTCCTTCTCCATCGTCACGCTCGCCGCGCTTCTCCACGACGTCGGCGACAAAAAGTACCTGCAGCCCGGCGAGGACGCGACGCGGCTCGTCCACGCCGTCCTCGCGTCCTTTGGCGCCGCCGACGCGCTCGCCGAGACGGTGCAGGCCATCTGCCTCGGCGTCAGCTACTCGGGCGAGGCCAGGGACCCCGGGGCGGTGGCGGCGCTGATTCGCGCGCACCCGGAGCTGGCGGTGGTGCAGGACGCGGACAGGCTCGACGCCCTGGGCGCGGTGGGCATTGGTCGCGCGTTTGCGTTTGGCGGCGCGCGCGGCAGGGGGCTCGACGACACGATTGCGCACTTTGAGGATAAGCTGCTGAGGCTGGAGGGCTTGATGAAGACGCCGACGGGGAGGGAGCTGGCGCGGGAGAGGTCGGCGAGGATACGAAAGATGCACGAGTGGTGGCTGCTGGAAACGGGAGACGAAGTTCAATGAAAGCTGGAAAAGCCTGTGAACTGGAATTGAAACCGTCTTGAGCGGGTACCAGCAACGAGGAACTCATGGTGTTTGGCGTTGAGGGTTCGACGATGTCGTGATACTATGGATTACTGGTCACACCATGTTGGCCCAATTTCATTCATCAATGCCTGCTTGTTACTTATTCTTGATATACTGCACCCTTTTTGGGTCAGACGTTCCACCTCAAAGGTGTTGACATTTCCCACATGCAGCTGGTGCACTCTCATCCCTCCGCAAAGCTTCTTCACTAAAGAAGACGGGCCAAAATTGTTTAAAGACTAGTGCACCATGAGGTTCACTATACTGTATTACATGAAACGTTCCTGGAAGTTCAGCTTGCGTCTTACGATACAAGGGAGAAAGATCATTGCGTTATATTTTCTGGCCACTTACGACATCTTGTTCAAAACGGGACAACTACACCCCATCATCACTACCCGACGGAGCAACTTGAGGTTCCTGCACAATGACTTTCAGGGCTACATGTGATTGGATAATCAAGACATTATTTTGTTTATTCAAAGTAGGACCATTACTTGGGCATCAGTGATGCTGCGCTGGACCGGATAGCCCCTATACTCCGAACTTTTTGTCCTTGTCCGCAATGGGGAAATCGCTGCCGGTAGTTCCCTTGTACTTGTCGCGAATGTAGTCGGAAATGGCCTCGTCCTTTGCCTGCTCCGCTGCGGTTTCGTTGCTCTGCTGACCTTGGCCAAGCACCTTTTCCTGCACAAAATCGACGGCCTGCATGGGGGAATTTAGTAAACACAAAACTCGCGGGTTTGGCGTTTGGGTGGAAAGGAACTTGGGGATGACCCGTACCTTGTCTAGTCCATCTTCTTGCTGCTCCGACTTTTCTCCGCCACCTGCAATGTTGTTGATGGAGTCCATGAATTTGTTGCTGGACTCGCCCTCTTTGTTGTTGAGGCTGCCACCAGCGGCTTTGAGAATGTTGTCCATGGTGTTGGGGGTGATATAAGGCGGGAGTCGCAAAGGTATGGCGAAGTTGAAGAAGACTCAAAAGGAAATGAATTAGATTTCGACAAGTATTGTCCCTTTTCTGGGGAGGGCCTCTTTAAGAGCGATTCGAGATGGACGGCGGACTATTATGACGTCGTGATGTTCCGCCATTTGGGGGGGGGAAGACCCCGCACGATGATCTACTCGCCCTGGTACTGCGGCGCCATCCCTTGCCTGCGAATACAAAGCAAGATAGGTCTGCAGATCTATGGACGAGCGCAACGAGGGCTGGGCTTTTGCTGGAACAGTCGAGCTAAACCGAGGTGGTGGCGGAGAGCTTAATTGGCAAAAGTGGGCAGAATGCTGGTACAGCTGAAGTTTGGCGCGGCTCAAGTTTTAGAATGGAGAGTTGGCATAGCCATTGCCGGTGAATGCCTTGCGCAACGTTTTTAAGTTTCTCTGGCCCAGCTTTACAAGTCATAACTTACTTTCCTGTGATTTGTCGTCGAAATGCAGCAGCATGTCCCAAGGCGACCTATCCACCTTGATCAGCGATCCCGTTTATCGTAGATTGTGTCCAGGATCACTATTCGTATCGTTCTGTCAGGCTTCGATTATCGTTTTACATGCCTTTTTGTATGGAGACTGCCGCGATAAAGAAGCTCGAATGTCCATTGTCGACCAGCAGCTTCCGTTGAGCCATAAATCCTGAGACAAGACTCCAGGAGATTGCTGCACAAGCCTCACGATCCAGAATCACAACAGAGAGATGGACCAGTACTTTTGGGTAGTCCAGATCTCTATTGATGAATCTAAGAAAAGGTTTCACTATTGAGAATTCTACCAAACAAACCTTACGACTACTGCTCTCCGTGCTACCCTGTAGCTTCAACCGGGCTTAGTCTCCAAGAAGCAGACCAACTGTCGTTCAATAAACGACGTCAATGAACGAGAAAGGCTCTGCTCGTTCCTCTCGCTCTGCGTGGTAGCTGGAGGCATCCGGAACTTGTGGCTGAATTGAAGCCCTTGCCCAGTCGGCGGCGGCTTTCGAATAGTTGGCGCGTCCGCCAGGACAGAGCACAGAGAAAGGCAAGCCGGGGGTCCCAGCCAATGCCAATGTCGGTGTCATGAACGAGAGACCAAATTCTCACATACCGTTTTCGCGCCAGATAAGATTGTCTTTTATGCTCTGAGGTTTTCGAATTGCCGACTCGATGATTTCCCCACGCCAATGTTCCCCCCCACCCCCGTGCCAGCGTCCCAGGAAGACGACGGCGCTTTTTAAGGTTGTAAATATGGAGGATTTGCTGGCGCGAAACAGGGCCGTTTTCCCGTCTCAATCTAGTTAGCATGATTGACTAGCATATGTAATTGACTGGCATGATTGACCGGCAGATGGGAGCTCCAGAGAGGCCACCGGTCCCGCTGTAACTAACTATAAAACAAAACTCGTTTGGCGGGCCCCTGGAGTGTGCGATTCACAATGCCCTATTATCCATCCGTCAATCATGATGTTTAAAAACTGGGTAAGATTGTTCCACTCCTACTCCTTGTATTTTGTACGTCTTATTTCGTATAAATGTCAATAGGTATCCCTTTGCCCTTCTACTAAACGTGACGGCGTATTTGCAGATGAATGGGTCAACGTCAGCGGCGCTGGGCTGAGACTGTTCCAGATATAGTCAAGGGTCTGCTTGAAGATGCAATTAATTCCACATACAAAGACAAATAGCAGATAAAGACCTCTCAGCATTGGTAATAATTACTAAACGCCGATGATGGCTCCAGGTTGAGCGGATTTTACGCAACAATCAAGCGATGTAATTATTAGTACGTAATCTGATCATTGTAAAATGCTCTTTGAACGAGCCCGGAAATCTCCTTCCTTGTACGTTTCGCGCAACGGCGCATCCGAGACATCAGCACCATGTAAACTCGATACAACCAAGATCTACAAACCCCGCAGGTTTAGTTAGTCTCGGCTCCAGGGCCCGATTTCTAATCGGTATTTTGGCTTCCAAGTACATGTTTTTTTTTTTTTTTTTAGCTCCTTTCTTCTATAAGAAATGATGTAAATCATAGCTGATGCTCTCCGCGTCGTCGATGCTCAGGACAAAAAAAATCACCGCATTGGCAGAGGTGTCTCCACTGACAAACTTTGGCCGGTATTAATTACAAGGGGACCAGTAGCTCAACATTTTGTGAGTGTGTACTCGTATTTATCAGTAGTTAGTTAGAATTCGTCAGCCCATCTTTCCAGCAACAAAAGTCATGAACCTGGCATCATTGGATTATGCGTCTCCATTTTTAATTTTCGCTGTTTGAAGCTTGGCGACCCCCACGCTGCCTTGTTCGTTCTTGTCTTCTTCGTAACAGGTGGAAAAAAAAAAGAGAGATTTCGGTTGCTGGTGCTCTAAGTATAAGGAAAGGCCCGTACCCAAGAGATTGGGCTGACGCAAGAGTGCTGAAATTACAAGGACAAGTCCACTAGACCCGCCCGTTAACAGACGCGGCATAAGACCATCGCAAGGTACGGGAGTTGGGGGAGCTATTATTAAGGTTTTCCTCGACTTGAATCAGGCACTTCAAGTTTTCCCGATTCTCATGTGTTCTTAGCGCGCTACTATTTACAGATGAGTGATGTATTACTACATAGATGGGTTATACAGTGGGTGGCAACAAGTATTTGACCCCCCCAAGGTATCGCAGCCGAGGCCTTACCTAAATGGGAATATCAAAACAATGCTGCTTTAAGCTAGAGCTATCGACCCTAACCCTAATAAAGTTATAGTAGGCTTATAGTGGATTATAGTGGACATGATAACCCTAACCCTTGTGCTTTTAAAGCGGCGTGCTATAGATGCTATTTAAGGCTAGCGTCGGCGCAAAACCGCTACCTGGAGGGGGTCAAATACTTGTTGCCACCCACTGTACAGTATAGTTGTCGTATATAACAATATTCACAGTCTTTCAAGCTGCCTTTTGCAAACCGGGTAATTGCTAGGCACAGTCTCTTTTCTGCTATAGCCCTTCCAAGACTCATCTCAGGGGTTATCGAGCTGCAATCTTCAAGAACAAGCACCCGCGCTCATCAGTGTGAGTTGAATACGAGCTTCGCCGTCTGATAATTATGCCGCCACCTTATGTGGCAAAAGGCACTGACTGCGGAGTCTTGCCGACCCTGTTCTTCTGGAACATGCCTCTGCAGGGAGAATCGAATGGGCTGCTTGTGCGTACCTGCCACGGCTGTGCTCATTTACTGGAAGGTCATCAGGGGCTGGCCTGTCATCTCCACCGTGAGCGTGGAGCTGTCGCGTGCTTCTATGCAAGGTACCAGACGATCCTGTCAGCCGATAACAATAGCTGCAATTGGTTTCTCCGGACCCTTGCCTTGGTCCCTTTATTAGGGTGTCTGTTTTGTGTGCGTTGTTGCGTTGTTGGCTCTGGGTTTAAAACACACCAAGCAAAACTACCATGAAGATAATAATGGTATTCTATCTACAGAATCAAACGCTTCAACCCTTTTGGACTCTTGTCTGCAGATTCCACGGAAATTTGGCGCCCAAAATATATACCACAGGAAGAGGGCATCTCGCCCATCCCGCCCATCCCGCCCGCTCAAGCCGCGCCAGCTAACACGCAGCCCTGTTCGTTAGTTACATGACTCTTCGGTTTGCGCCGTCCGATCCACTCTCGATGCCAAGAAAAGAACTAAGAGCACAACTTGTTGCGCGAATATTCGAACACTGCAAGTCTTGCCGGAGTTTGTATCATTCGTACCGTCTGGTAGCACTCTCGCAGTTGCTGCCGAGTAATCGTATAATGGTGTACCAATCTATTGCCCTCTTTCGATATTTAGAAAGGGACAACGCTATCGAGTCACGGCTGCGCACCGATTTCTTCCAGCGTTTCTCAGGGGAGTAATCGCTGGCAAATTCGTCCAATATTTACTGTCAGCGGGTGTGCCTGGCCCCATGACCCAGTCACTGCCACGATGCTTGGCTCAGATGGAAATTAGGACTATACCACCACAGGTACTATTGAGCACCACAAAAGCCCAATTTGTAATATCTAGCCCACGTTCTAGCTCTAGGCAACTCTTTCCCTTTCTTCAAGCTCCGCAATGTGGAATAAAAGCATCTGTGAATGTTCTAGTTAGGCAGGGTACCCCTTTACCGAGAGCGTCCAAAAGCATATATAGGCGACAACTGGACTGCTCGCCGACTTTCGTTTTTGCCTCACACGCCATACAGTCTTTACCGTCATCGTAATTATGCCGTCACTCATTTCGTGCCTTGTGGCAGGCCTCGCCGTCGTCGACCGCGCGGCGGCCGCAAAGTATTCGCTGTCCCAAACCTACGACTCGTCCAACTTTCTCACCGAGTTTCACTTTCGGGAGGTACGTCAGATGCAGTCTTGAAATCAAATCAATCTCCACATGTCCGGAAGCTAACGACAGATCTTCAGAGGGGTACAATTCCGGATCGGCCAGATGACAATTGGTCTTGGGTCAAGTACCAGAATGTAGAGGACGCCCAGAAGAAGGGACTTGTTTCTGTCAAGGACAACAAAGTATATCTGGGCGTGGACTTTGAGACCAAATTGGAGAATAACGATAACGGGCGAGACACGCTACGCGTCCAATCCAAATGGTCGTTTAGGGAAGGCTTGGTCATCACCAGATTTTACCACATGCCCAAGACCGTCTGCGGTGCCTGGCCAGCCTAGTAAGAAGAGCATTTTCATCACCGTGACAAAAGATTATCTGACTAACTGGAATTTTTCTTAGCTGGACACTAGGAGAGGATTGGCCTAACAACGGCGAGATTGACATGTACGAGGGCTGGAATCTCAACACTGTGAACAAGCCGGCACTCCACGTTGGGACTAAAGCCAGGGTCGGCCAATGCCTCCTGGACAGCTCTGCGCAGGCTGAAATTGTCTCGGCAAACTGCGACAATAAGTTCGAAGATGGCGTGCGCGCTTGGGCGGGCCAGGGATGCCAGGTTGAAGAGGTCAATGACGGCATTTGGGCTTCTGAGCACGGTGGTATTCGTAAGTCTTGACCAGCCATAGCGATACTGGTACTCGCCCGGCTTTCTAACCTTTTTTTTTTTTTTTCTTACGTGCAGAGGCTCTCGAATGGACAAAGGACGCGATCAAGCTGTACACCTGGCAGATCGGCAAGGCGCCCAAGAACATTGATTCCGATGCCCCCGATACTTCTTCTTGGGGTAAGCCGTCGGTGCAGGTCTCAAGCTCCGGCTGCGATTTATCAAGGGCTTTCGGAAACCAGACAATCCTCTTCACGCTCCCCTTCTGCGGCGACCCTGTTGGCAAGAAGCAGTTCTGGTCGGAGCTGCGTGCCGACAGCAAAGGGCAAGTCAACGGCAAGATTGAAGATACGTGCGAGATAATCACTGGCGCGAAGACCTGCGTTCAGTACGTTGCCGAGAACCCGGCAGCATTCAAGGACTTTTACTTTGGCATCAATGATGTCCGCTACTTTGTCCAGGACGCCGAAGACAGCGACGACGGCAACAAGGATACCAAGGGCCAACTTTCGCTCGACAGCAGCAGCAGCTCGGCCCTCACCTTCAAGTACGCCACCAGCCAGTCGTCCAGCGACAACTGGATCGGCATCTGGCCCGAGGACGACACGCAAGCGCCGACATGGGGCAGCACCACCTGGGACTACGCCAAGGAAAGCTCAGGCATCTCAACGCTCGCACCCCCGAGCTCCATGAAGGCCGGCAAGTACAAGGCCTATCTCCTCTCCAGCGACCGCGAGATTCTCGCCTTTCTCTCCACCTTTGACTACAAGCCAGAGTCGTCCTCCTCAAACGACAACAGCGACAGCAGCAGCAGCAGCGTGGCCTTTAGCGTCAAGGCGCGCTACAATATAAACTGCGGCGGCAGCGTCACCAACAACGTCGACATCCAGCCCGGCAGCAACGGCGTCTGCGTCCGCACAAACTGCAACGTGGGCAGCCTCGAGATCCCCAGCGCCGGCAGCTGCCCCGACGGGCAGGTCCGCATCAGCTTCTGGCAAAACGCCGACTGCGACGGCGACTGGTACGGCTACGGCTACGCAAGCAGAGGCACCTGCCGCGGCCTGTGGACCAACGGCTGGGGCTTCAAGTCGCTGTGGCTCTCGTGCGCCGATCCCGCCAGCGACTGCATCCAGCAGGGCACCTGCACCGCCGCCCCGGAGCCGGAGTCGGCCAACCAAATCTGCCGTGCCTAAAAGCGAGACACTGACAATAAGCCGACAACGGACGATGATGGTGCTGCTTCCCATCTTTAAGACCTGATATAGCGGAAGCTGCTGCACGAGGGATGTCCACAACGACGTCACCGTTGACGATTATTCTGGCGGTAATGTTTGCTGAATTACTCTCTCCTAGACAAAGGTTTTTGGTTGAGTTGTCCAGTCGGGCCTTGAACTTTTTATTTTTCTGCTGGCTGGACGTGTTAATAAACTATAATTCTTTCAAAATGCACTCTTTTGCCTTTTTTTTCTTTTTTAATAAGAAGTGATTTAATATCGTATCTCATTAGTGTGTGCGGCCGCGTGTTGCCAAAGATAAACAACTCATAATCGAAACCAAATCTTGTAGTATTCCATCATCTCAATCTATACCTTGTACTTGATCCAAAAAAACAAAAGAAGAAGAAAAAAGGGAAAAAAAAAGGCTAGGGCTGTCATTCATGTCATGCTATTCGACTTTCCACGCCCATGCAGTCATCAAATTCATTACAAAAAGCATCCATCCATCCATCTCAGTAGTAGTACCCTCCGCGCGACCGCCTCTCGTCAATCGACACATCAAGCTCCCGAAAGTGCTCATCCAAGTACCCCGACGACCGACGACGTCTTCGATGAATCGGCCGCGGCTGGTAGTGGTGGTGATGATCGCGATCAATCTCAATGTCGAGCTCAATCTCGCGGGACCGTTCCTGCTGCGTCTTGCGGCGTCGCGCGCGGCGAATATCTTCCGACAAGTCCATGAGTTCCGATACGGCGTCCTAATTAAAAAAAAAAATTCCGTAATCGTTAGCAAAAACGGGTGTCTTTTTCCTCGTCTTACTTTTGCTTCGATCCCATCGTCGCCGGGCAGCAACTAAAAAAAATAAAAATAAAAAA